GCCCTTGGTGCTCACAGTCCCCCCGTGGTACTTGCTGGACCGGACTGGGACTGGCTGGACCTTCCGCTGACTGACTGTGGACTCACCGCTATCCTACCGACGTTGTACTGCTGTTGCACTGCGGTTTAGTCCACCACTTGCCTACTTGCCTACCTTCTAGAAGGTCTACAGCTAAGCTTCCGGAACTAACTGAGACTTCTACGCTATAGACCTACAGATCAAACCCCTGCTGCCTATGGACCTACGACAGGCTCACCAACTTCCTACGAATACACAGGTCACAGGTTTAATTCTCGGGGTCTACACAGATACTGTACATGGGTAGGTGGAGGTCTAGGGATCGAACCCTGGGGATGTAAGGTGAAAACCGTTTCCCTCCCGTCGTCCTAAATTCGAGGTCCTCAGAGAACATTTCAGTCCAAGGCGGGACCTTTACCTTTCTTGTCACGTTCATAGGCTCTGACTATGTCGGGAGCGGTCTCTAGAAGTTTTGTTTTCGTGAACCAGCGGTCGTCTTCCGGTTCCTGATAGGCAAAACGGACCTTATATTGTTTCTGGGGACGACCTCTACCTCTGTTCTGAACACATCCTCATCTACAATGCCTTCAATGTCATAACTTCCATCCATATCCGGGGGGATCATGGATCTTCTCGAAGGGAACTGTTGACTTGTGACACACGGCAGCAGCTTTGAAGCATGAAACACAGGGTATGTGTGGAGGTGTGCTGGAATCTCAATGCTATAGGACGGTCCATCCTCTCCGCCCTTGACTTCTAGAACCGGCCACGGTCCTCTATATGCGGGCAGTAACTTCTGCGAGATGTTTTCCTCAGGTGCAAACTCTTTAGCCTTGACCTAGACTAAGTCGCCTACCTGAAACTGCGCTGGGCGGCGGTGCTTATTAGCTTGCTCTATCATCCTATGTTGGGCCTTCCTGAGGTTTTCAACAACAATTGCTAGTTCTTTCTCATGTTGTATCGCAATCTCCCTGGTACCGGGCGGTAATCTGTGAATCTGATCCCGGTTCAGTCCTTCGAACGGTCTGCGTGGTCTAAAGGACTTGTGCAGCTCATTGGGAGTGCGGCAGGTGGATAGATGCACGCTGTTGTTGTATGCACTAGCTACYTTAGGCAACATCTCATCCCAGTTAATCTGATCTGGTCTAATGTACATCCGCAGAACTTGCTGTAGGATCTTGTTCATCTTTTMTGTCTGACCGTTAGTCTCTGGGTGACAGCCAAATGACATAAACAACTTAGATCCGTAAACTCTCATGAGTTCTTGCCAGTTCTGGCTGGTGAAACGACTATCTCTATCACTAACTATTGACAATGGGATTCCATTCTCACTAACCCAAAAGTCCAAAAACTTCTGTATAACTAAGTCCGTACGTGCCTCTGCAGGCAAAGGAACGAAAACTGCATATTTGCTAAAACGGTCAACTACGACCATGACTTGGCTCTAACCATGTTTGCTCTTGACTTGGGTGTCCATGAAGTCTATGGACACGGAGTCTCCCGGCTGATCCGGAATAGGCAAGGGTCTGAGAAGACCGAGGGGCGTGCGTGTAGTGGACGTATTCCTCTGGCACACTTTACAGCTGCGGGCATACTCTATGCAGTCATTCTTCATCCCTGGCCAGGTATACACACGCATCAGGTTGGCTAATGTCTTTTGCCAACCGAAATGCCCTTCAGTATCGTGGCATTCCCCTAAAATCAAACTGCAGATCTCTTCGCTGTTGGGAACGCACAGGCGGTCAAACACATTAGTCTTCTCGAACAGCAACCCGTTTGTAGTGCGGTAATCTGGTTCAGTCTCTGGGGCCTCTCTAACTCTCTTTAGGAGGTCGCTATAGATAGGGTCCTGTGCATATGCTTGCCTCACTTTCTCCTGCAGGTCTCTCCCTATATCCAGATAGTGTACTACGACTCCAAAGTAGTCTGATCTCCTACTTAGAGCATCCGCAACTACGTTGTATTTTCCCTTCACTGGCTTGAGCTCAAAGTCGAATTGGTCTATCTCTGCAGCCCACCTAGTCAATTTAGGTGTCATCTTGGCCTGTGTCTTTAACCAACGGAGTGTCTCGTGGTCAGAATACACTTTGAAGTGCCTCCCAAGCAGATAGTGCTTCCAATGGTCTAAAGCCTGCCTGAGAGCATAGAGTTCTCTCTCATACGTGGAGGTAGCGACCTTCTCACAGGGCATCCTCGTTGACATGAACTCTACCGGTCTATAGCCATTGCCGTCATCTTGCTACAACACGGCGCCTATCCCATACTGACTCGCATCCGTGGTGACGACAAATGGCAAAGACGGATCTGCAACTTTAAGGACAGGATACTCTATTAACGCGCACTTTAACTTCTTGAGCGCAGACGTACAATCTTTGTCCCATTGCCAGATTGCCTCTTTCTTCAGCAACCTGCGCAAGGGAGAGGCGATAGTGAAGAAGTTTCTTACGAACTTCCTGTAGTAGTTAGCTAGGCCTAAGAACGACCGCAACTCTGTCAATGTGTGGGGCGTCGGCCAATCTCTGATCGTCGCGATCTTACTGTCCTCTGGCTTAATGCCATCTCCGTCCAACACGTGGCCCAAGTACAAGACTTGTGTCTTGGCCCACTCACATTTCTTTGCGTTGATCTTGAAGTAAGCCTCTCGTAGCTTCTCCAAGACCTGCCTCAGATGACCCTGGTGCTCTTGGAGGGTCTTACTAAAAACTAGGATATCATCTAAATAAACTACTACAAACTTATCTAACCACGGTCTAAACAGGTCATTCATACAACGCTGGAAGGTAGCTGGCGCGTTGGTTAGTCCAAAGGGCATCACTATGAACTCATAGTGCCTATATCTAGTCCGGAACGCTGTCTTGTCCTGGTCATCAGGATGTACTTCTATCTGATGGTATCCGGACTTCAAGTCTATTTTGGAGAAATACTTGCAACCCTACACCCGATCTAAAAGATCGTGTATCCTGGGCAGCGGCTCAGCATTCTTCACTGTGATCGCATTCAAACCCCTATAGTCTATACACATACGGAGCTCTCCCTCCTTCTTTGGGACAAACAAAACTGGTGCTCCAAAAGGAGACGAACTGCGCCTGATCCAACCTTTCTCAAGGAGTTCGTCTAACTGTTTGCGAAGCTCCTCTAACTCCCTACGGGACAGCCTGTAGACTACACCCTTAGGAGTCCCAGGCTCTATCTCTATCCTGTGCTGGATGGGTCGCGACACTACTCCTGTCGGCGACTCAGTCAAGTCCTTGAATTCTTCCAGCAGCTTGACAATTGTTGGATCTGTGGAACTATCCTTTTCCTGGGCCTCAGTGACAGGTCTAACATAAACTACAAAGACCTGGTCTTCTAACTGCTCCTTTTTACTAATCGCGCGAACGCGGGAGCACTGAGACAGCAATGTGCCAAGGTGTTATCTACACCAGACACATGCAACAGGCGGGCAGTCTTAACTTCGCCTGCCGGGCTAGGGAGCCTACACTCATGCTCTATCAAATGAAGTGTGGCTCCTGCTGCCTCTCCCCAATCCATTCCTAACACTATATCAAAAGGAAGGTCATCTTGTACGAGGAGAGTCACTTCTCTGGGCGAAAATACGCCTGGACTCCCTCTACATAGTCCTCAACTCGCATCGTGCGGTTGTCTGCGAGGACATTGACTATGGGGTCTACTAACTTCTGGACTTTTAGTCCTAGCCTCAACTTCTTCAGTGCCCTACGACTAATGTAACTACGGGTAGCCCCTGAGTCTATGAGGGCCCCTACTCTACTTCTAAAAACCTCTACACCTACCAAAATCAGTTGTCCCTTACTCTCCTTTTTCATTTTGGCCCAGACTGGCATCCTCTCCTTTAACTCTTTTGCCACACCTGTGAGGGACGTGCCTAAAGAGACGCTAACACAGACGGTCTCTGGACAGCTATCTAGGCACGGGCCTGCAACCTCTGCCATAGGCTCATGTGGGTTGGGAGTGTCCTGTTCGCGCTTGCTCACTTCTCCACACGGCCTTAAAGTAGGGGCAGTCGCAACCCCTATTGGCGGTTGCCTTTTGACTGCTGGGCAGCCCAACGGGCCTGTCTATACTTTGGACAAAATTTGATAACGTGGGCCGGGTCACCACAGAATACGCACTGACCCATGTTCACGCATTCTTGCCATAATCGCTGGTCCAAGCCCAGATCTTCCCAAGGTCTGGCCTGTGGCAAGCCTGGGTGCCATCCTCCTTGAGGTGCCCTTCCACCTCTACGCTGTGGGGACCAATTACCCTGGCGATTTAACGGGGGACCTTGACCCCTACCTCCCACTTGGCGGTTTCCTTGGCCGCCAACCCCCTGCTCGCCCGGTCCTCGGCCTCCCATGGCCTAGCCCCTTTGGCCCTGGCCTCCTCCTCTACCTTGCGGCCTCCCTCCAGCCGCGACAGCAGCGTAAGACCTCCCCTGCCCTACACTACTGTCCTCCTCCCCTAGGGCCCACTCAATCTGATCATATGGGACCTCTTCTGTACCACCCTCCTCTAATGTCAGGATCAAGTGATCCTTGGCCTTGACTTGGCCTGAAATGGTACGATCCTTCCACTTCTTCCCCTTCTCCAGGTCCTTATGCCAGAAAGTGGTAACAGGCATAGACTTCGACTCATACAGGACGACTTCTCTACTTAATGCATCGTAAGTGATGCTGGCCTGCTGAGACTTGTCAAAGAAATGGCCGCGTAGGGCCTCTGGCATGGCACGATAAAACAACTGGACCAGCTGGGGCTCAGTGACCCCATGGTCCGGGACGGCTACCAAGTCGTCCATGGTACCCTTGAGTGCCTTGGCACTCCTCCATTGCTGTGAGTGGATTGTCTGCAACTTATCTTAGGCTCTGACGTCTCGCGTTGGGTCATCAAATCGCTCCTTAAGGAGCTTGAGGAACTGAGAGAGGGGTGTGACTTTGGAATATGCAACCAGGTTGTTTTCACAACCGGCTGCACGCGCAAGGGACCTGGCGAAGCTAGTTGCTTCGTCCTTCAGGGCCTTGAAGGCCACGAGGACTTGTTCCTCTATCAAGATATGCTGTAAATAAATGTAACTGTTGACACTGGTCTCCCAATTATCAAAGTTCTCCTCCTTCTTTCCCCCGTACGCGTCTGGGAACTTGAGCTTGACAGGCTCCTTACGGGGTCTGGCCTCGCCATCTACAGCGGCTATGGCTTTTGCACCTTCAATGGCGCCTTCACAGAACTTTCCTACATTGTCCCTCAACTGTTTGACTTCGCCCCCAATAAGGGTGACGATTTCGCGCGCAAAGTCCCTGAAACCGGACCGCATGGCACTCAACGCTACATCCTGGCTCCAACTTGCCTGGCGCTCCTCCATCCAGGCCTTGCTCAACACCTCTAGGTAGCCCAATACCTTGTCCCACTTGGCCTTATCATCTGGCTGGGCCTGGCTGGGCCAGCACCTCCGCTCTACACTCCTGCACCTTTGCCACTGCTGCGGTCATCTTATTCACTTCTTCTATCCTCCTTCTCTTCTCCCTCTTCATTCTCAACTTTCATTGCAACTTCTGCTCGTCTTCCCTCTCTCTTCGTTCCATCGGGTCCGTCATGGCTGCTAGCTCAGCGGCCAGTGCGGCCTTCTCATCCTCAGTCACATATGACTCCGCCTCTTCGTCTTCCCCCAACGATAAATTAGCAACCCACTCGCTGATCTTCTTCTCAATCTCATCATCTGTGTCCTTTTTCGGGTCACTACTGCTCCCTTCTCCACTCTCGATCCTCATCCTCTCCTTTTCTTCTTCTGCTGCCGCTTCGTCTTCTTCATCCCCTCCTCCACTTCCTTCATCTTCGCCGCCCGCTCGTCTGCGATAGCCTTTAGCTTCGCCTGCTTCTCACGCTCTTTCCTCTCCTTATTCTCTTTGACTAAGGCGGCCATCTTTTCTTGTTGCTCCTTGCTATAGGGGCTAGTCTCTAACCCACTACGGGTCCCAACCATGGTGATAAGTATACAACCGGGTTAGTGGTTCCAGACCTCACCACGTAGACTCTGACCCCTGACTGACAAACCTATTGACTCAATCTAAGACTTACAGAATCCTGTCAAGGACCCTGTCAACTATGGTCTCTAGCCTAGACCTATGCTATGGCTGTCACTACTGAACCAGTGGCTGATCAGGAGGCATGTAAGGAGATCCCCCGTAACTCCTCAAAAATTCTTTAACGTCGCAGACAGGACGACGTGATCAGCTTGGTTTTGCATGTGCTTTCAGCCCACAACTCAGCCTTTCCAGCCTATTGTGCCACACCGAGCAGCCCGCCGGTTTGTACCGGTCCTTGGGAGGGTTTGACCTCCGAGACAGTCGAGTCGTCAGACACAGATCCTCAGCCTTACTTGGTCCGGTAGGGGAGTGGTTCAAACAGGCCCTCAACACTTAAAGACTGCTTGGTGTGTCAGCCCTAACTGTCGTTCAGGCCCACTGAGTCCTACCAACCGTTTCCAGTCGATCAGCACCGGTCCTTGGGAGGGTTATGCCCCCCTGGAAAGTTGGATCAGCCATAGCCTTAGCCCTACAAGGTTAGACTAGGGTTTCGTCATCCAAGCCCTATCCTTCATCCACAGAGTACTATGACCTAGGGCAGAAGAGACTCAATGCAGAAAGAATAGACAGACAGAYTGTACTCAGCAAGTACCAAGGGGTATGTGCGCATCCATAGGGCAAGGGGTAGGCTAAGAGCTTGGCGAGATGTTACCAAYTCCAGCTTGGTCAAAGTCTTGGTCAACGCCTTGGTCAATGGCCTTGGTCAACACCGGTCAATGCTGCTGTGACCCCCGGTCAGCCCCGGTCAACTCTGGTAACGGCCGGTCAACCCTCTTGGTCAACCCTCCGGTCAGCTATGGCTGCCG